GTATCCCTCTCCGAGAATCGGAAAATAAAGTCGATGCAGTCGTTCAAAAAGCCTGTCACGACAGTCGCTCAGGTATGTGAAGAGACGTATGTGGAGGGATGGAGGAGGGAGGGCGACACTGGTTCCTTCCGGAAGCTCATGCGGATGATGCACTGTGACTGTTTGAGGGGGTGAGCCGCCCTTGAATCGTGGCCCTCGCTGTGGCGGATGACAGTACTGACAGTGGCCTTGGATGATGAACTCAAATCAGGGGGACCGAGTGGGCATCTGCGTGACCAAGCTGGAGCCGTCTCTTGTTGAGCGAGGCATGCTCGCAGCACCTGGCTCCGTCATATTTGCGCACGCCGCCTTGGCCACGGCCAAACGGATACGTTACTTCAAGCCCGAAATCGCATCCAAGACCAAGATTCATGGTAAGGCAGCCGCTCTTGAGCAAGCACGGACGTCTGCAATCCCAAGTCTACTACTTCGATTGTGTCGGTCGACCTCGACAATTCTGTAATAACCTTGCGCCGGCTTGCTTGGCAACGATGCAGTCACGATCGGACACGAAACAGCGCTGGCAACAATCAAATTCCTGAAGGCACTAACACCGATCGAAGGCAAGTGCCGGAACTCAAGCTGGTCGCTTGGGACGGCCCCCTTGTCCAGCACTTGCCGGGAATACGGGCCACCCATAAGGAACAGCGGCAGATGCCCGGATCGAGCCGAGCGAAGGAAACTGACGCTCGAAACTGCTTCCTGCAGACGATTTTGACTTTCAGCAAGAGTATCAGTACGAGCCTCTGCTGCCTGACCACCGGGAGGCACCCGGCCAAACTACCAACCTCTACAGCGTTCTGCTTGAGTTTGACAAGCCCATTGCCTTGCCCCAAGGAATAGTCTCTTCATCACCTCAAAGCTTGATGACGATAATCGTGAGTTGTGGGAACGACTCGACCCGACCGTTGGGGCGCCGTGGAATGCTGGAATGCTGACTCCCCGAAACACTGCGGCACGAGACCGGAGCCGCCCTTGAGCTCCGAATGCGGAAGCGGAAAGCGAATGGGGGCTGCGTCCAGTAGCCAAAAATTGGGACTGACTTGACCTTCATAATATCCTTGCCGCATGGCAGACGCCGGTGCATGCCGTATAGCGTTTCACGGACGTGTGCAGCATGCTATGGCAGACCCCAAACTACAAGGAACAGCTTGCAAAGATGCTCAGGGTCTACAAGCTCAAGGAGAAAGTCGGCACGATCGATCGCGTAAGTACAGGGCTGTGGTTATGGTTATGAACCATGGCCATGGGCAATGCATTTGGCGATTGAAGGGATTGAGGGACTGTATGAATGAATCAGCAGGCCGACTGATGTTTCTGCCGGGCAGGTTGTGGACGAACGAATGCTGATCGGTGCCAAGATGTTCAAGAAGGAGACCAACCTGGAACTGTTTGTGGGAATGAAGGTGGTTCTGGGATCCAGTAGGTTTCTGAGTGGGTGGCAATGAGCAGCGCCCTGTCGAGCTGGCGACCAACTACCGACCCGTTGGTGATTCGGTGCAAGCATGGGGGTGATGCAGTCGATACACGATGGAGGCTTCCGATGCTCCCGGCCGGATTGCTCCGGGTCTATAGAACTAAGCGCTTGCCACCCGTGGTTTCCCGCTCATCGGCGGTGAGTAGGCCACGAAGGAACGATCGAGTCCGGGTTTGGCCAGAGCGGAAAATTCCGGGTGCGATTTGCCACAGCCCTGCCCGAGTCCTCTCGTGAGACCAGCGAAAGCCACCAAGAATCCCGCAGGGCGAAGAGAAGCCGCCTCGGGACAGGAGGACGACCAGCGCACTCTGCGTCTGACATTCAAGAAGGCCGTGTACCAGGATCGCATCTATCAATAGACGCCGCCGGTTCGGATGGAGTGCTGGCCGTCTCATTGAAGGAGGATCGTGTCCGCAGTTGCTTTCCAGGCCTTGCCAGCACCCCGACGAATGCAATATGGCCGATCTCGGCCGGTGTCAATTGGCTGGCCCAGCGCAATCATGCTCCAGCCGACGTTGACATGACGAGCGGGCGTGCTTGGGTCTACAGAGACATACTTGACCAAACCATGTCCTTGGGCTGGGCGCTGATGCGGTCGCACGGGATCAGATGACGGGGGTCATGGGGAGAATAGGCGCCCACTCTGTGGTCAATTGTCCCTTGCTGGGCGAGAGGGAGGTGTTGGGAAGAGTGGACGAAGAGGCAAGAAAAAAAAAGATATTCCGGACCAGAGTCACCATGCATCATGATGACCGACGCGTGTTCCGGGCGGGCGCGCCACTTGGCCAACACATACTGCGGCTGCTGTTGCTGTTGTGCGAGTAGTCCAAAGCAGTCCCGGCCTTGGCTCTCCTGAATCGCAAGGTCAAAATTGTATTCCCTGTTCTTGGAACTGCCGATACTGCGACTGCCACTTGATTTGGTTGGGTGGGTGCGGGAAGTCTATCGGCTTGCCTCGGTCCTGCGGCAGCAACAGCGGCTCGCTCAAGGCCAGAGTGATGTTGGCTGGGGCGATGGTTTCCGGAGGCCGCCCAGCGGAAACATCGAAACAAATACGGCCGTTTGGGGGAGAAGCCACCAGCGACCAGCATCCGGCGACCAGCGGTCAGCGGCCGAGCGGCGCATGGTGTCTCGGTCGGGACCGCAAGACCCCAAGAACAACAGGTTGTGCAGCAGCGGGGTCCCGGTGGCATTCGAATTCAGCAGGCGACCAAGCAGCCACCAGGAAGCGATCGAGACTGCCCGAGGCGTGGGAACGGAGAGGAGAGGAGACTCGAGTCGACAGGGACAGCGGGCCGTTGATGCAGCCAGATGCGGGCGCACAGACACAAGTGCAAAGGCACATGTGGGTGCTGGCGACAAGCACGGGCGTTTGCGCCACTGGGCCATGGGACATGCAAGCATTGTTCAGTCAATGCGACCACCTGCCTGCTGATATCCGCCGATACCCGCCGGCTGGTCTGGACGCCAGCAGAAGCGTCGCGTCGGGTGGGTGGGACGCGGGACTGCCGGGAACACATGCAGTGGCCACAAATACCGCACAGCGCGACGAGTGCCCCAGACGCGAGGGTCAAGTGACTCAGCGGCCCGACACGCCGGCCAATGGGCTGCCGGCCCTTGTCCAACCAGGAGACAGGCATCTCTGGCGCTTGGGCTGGCACCGACGCCCTTGTCGGGGGGCGGACACAGAGCACACGCTGGGCGGCAGGGCAGCTGTGTGCGTCGGTGGCCAGTCCCCACTGCCGCAGACACCGAGATTAGCGCCCACGCTGTGGTGTGTGCGCTTGAAGGCCGACAGGGATGGCCGACAAAGTCCACAGTCAGTGCTGTGTCGATCCGTATGCGTGTGTGCGTGTATGTGTGTGTGTGTGGCTGGGCCGAGGGCGAGACGAGGGTTGTAGGGAGAGCAAGCGAGAGTTGTGGGAGAACAGAGAGAGTTGCGCGAGAGGCATCACTCGCCCGGGCGAGACGCTCAGCGAGACGCACAGCGAGACGCGCTCGTGGACACAGACACGCTCTCGGCGCCCCTTGTGGCAGCGGTGCTCTCGGCCTGCTCTCGGCCCGCTCTCGCCTCTCTCGCCTCTCTCGCCCCGCTCTCGCCCCTCTCGCCCTCCGTCCGTTTGCGCTTTTCTTGCCTGCCGCCCCCCGCCACCCTACTCTTCCCTCGGCCATCGATTTTCAGCAGAAAAATCATCTTCGCTCCCCGCAAATGTGCTACGTCAAGTCCATCAAGCCCTCAGTGGCAACCCCCTCGCTCCCCAACACGGGCGCCCAGTTCGAGAAGCCGCAGGTCTCCACGCCCTCCACGGCCTCGTTCTCGCTGGCGACCCTCGACTCCTTCACCCCGAACCAGTCCCCCGACGTCTTTAGCTTCGCCGACCTCAACGACCTCAACTTTGACAATGTCGTGCTGTCGTCCGAGGACATCAAGAACCTCGACAGCTTCTTCAACGACCCCCTCCTCACCGAGGCCGTCAACGGCGACTTTGCCTGGCTCTCGCCCAACAACTCCGACCTCTGCCCCAACGATGCCGCCCCTGTCGCCTCGCTCCTGGCCACGCAGGACCGGGCCGTCGTTGCCGATGCCGGCAAGCTCGCCACCGTCGATCTTTCCGCCCCGTCCTTGTACCCTTCCCCTCCCCTCTCGGTCATCCCGACCACGGCCTCCATGCCCTCGGACTCGTCGGACGAGCTTGCCTTCCCTGAGCTCATCACGGCTTCGCACGTCATGTCCTCTCCCGAGCTCAACCCCACCGCCAAGACCTCTTGTCTCGCTAGCAAGCGCCCGCTGAACTCGTCCGACTGCTCCCTCTCGAGCGACGATGCCAGCTCGCTCGACCCCGTCGTCGCCAAGCGCATCAAGGTGAGCCGTGAGCCTGGGGTCGCTGCTCGCTGCCTGGCGAATGCCAGTCTGTATTCGGATCGATTCCGTTCTGGATCATCCGCTTTTGACACGCCCACTCGCGCATACTCTGGCTTGCTGCCTCGAAATGACGCATCGTCGAGCAAGCGGTCTGCGCCCTGATATGTTTTGCGCCGGCAGTTGAGTCTGCACACCATCTCGCCATTCTCTCCCGGTCGCTGATTCACTACCATTCATCTTCTCGCTGTTCGATCGCTGCATCCGTGGATATCATATGCCTGCCAATCAGAACACCGAGGCTGCTCGTCGATCTCGCCAGCGCAAGATCCAGCGACTCGACTCGCTCGAACACCAGGTGTCTTTGCTCGAAAACGACAAGTCCCAGCTCCAGATCCGGCTCGCCGTCCTGGAGAACGAGCGACACTCGTGGGCTGCCCGTGAGCAGGAATACGTCTCGAGGATCCAGCATCTGGAGGCTCAGCTAGCAGAATCTCATAGAGCCATGATCAACTTTGGAATGCGAGGCGGTGCCATCCATCAGTAGACCGATGTTCCCCCCCATTCCATATGCATTTGGCTGCGTTGACTGTTAGGTTGTGATTCTTTCATTCATTCATTCCCACTCTTTGCTGTTATTTCTTTTTTCGCTCTCCCCCTTCTCTTCTTCCTCCTCCTCCTCTTCCGTCACCCGCCCCATCGGCCTCGTTAGGGGCCCCTGAGCTCTGAAACCGCCCGGCTCTTCGCCGCGCCTCGACACAGTGTCACCGATGCAGGGCCGGAACTTCCGACCGCGCTACCGTTTGCCCTTTCTTTTGGACTGGTGCTACATCAGACAAGAAGCTTCTGTCGCCGGTGCCTATCATCCCATCTGCCACGCAAGTGGCATGGGTCCTTCTTGTCGCTGAGCCCCCCTCCTCCCATGTTCATCCTGACGACTTTTTCGATGACTTTGCTCCGCTTCATGTGCCACCTAATCCGATTTTTGTCCCTCCTCCCCTCCTCCCCGTCCCCCTTCCTGCTCAGCCGTGATTCCTTACTGCCCGTTTTCATCGTTCTTTTGCTGTGCGTTCGTTCTTTGCCAACCCAGAGCACGGTCCCACCGGTTCTTGCTCCCTCACGCCTACTACATATACTGCCTATTGAAGCAGCAACTACTGTTTGCGGCCTCCTCAAGTCTGGTTGGTCGGTGAGCGTCCCGTGGCGAGATCCCTCCAGCACTTTTTTGTTCAGCAGCGCCTGTCGCCTGGCGAAAGCCATGTCTGAGGGCCATGTCTGAGGGCCATGTCTGAGGGCCATGTCTGAGGGCCGTGGATGGCTCGACCCTGTTGTTGTCCGTCCACAGAGCTCTGTTTCCCAGGCTGTACTTGGCATACCCGCCAGATCGTTTCCTTGGTGTCACCATTCCCAGCACTGCCTATGAGAGTCATCATCTCAGTAACATGTTCTTCTGTCTGCCACGGGTCCCTCCCGTCGGGCCAGTACCTTCGCAGCGATGGAGATGACGGCACAGGCGGGCTTTCTGTGGCCCGCCTTTGCATTGGGGCGGTTGGGCCATGGCCGCTTTCCCGTTTTGACGTTGCTTCCGGTGTCCATCGGGTCCGCTGTTGGTGTCAGGAATCGGCGGCCGCCCCACCTTTGGATCGGCAGAGGATGGGGTCGCCAGGACCATCCTCCCTCGCCCTCCCCTCTGTTCCCAGCCCCATCTGTCGGCGCTGCAGCTTGCTTCTCCAGCCTCACCGGCAACCAGCGGCGGCCGTCCCGAACTTGATCTTGCCTTTGTCTGGCCTTCTCCATCGCAGGCCGACCTCAGCTCTCCCAATCAACCGCCGTCCCACACCGCCCTTTCCAAGTAGCGGCGTGTTGCCCGCAACAGATCCGCCGTCTGCTGCCAAGATTCCAATTGATTCACGCCTGCGCTGCCAACGCCCGCTCTAGCGCTCTTGCTCTGGATTCGGGTGCCATCGCAGCCGCCCATCTTCCAAATTCGCATTGGTCGCGGTGCCCAAGCTCGACCTTGCAGTCCCCGCAGCGACCGCTTCTGACTCCGTGGTGGTCCTCTGTCAACCCAGATCGGCCGTCTCTCGATCCGAGTTGCTCAACGACGGCTACGCAACCTCTCGGCAACATCCACGCACCCATTCGTCGACAGCTGTCGCACTCGCTCATCAGCACCCCCGCTCCGTCTTGGAGATTCGTGAACATCTGCCTTACTGCCCGGTCCCCGCCCCCATCGCTATCGACCCGCTGTCGCGAACGAGTCCTCTGACGGATCCTCTCCCGCTCCAACCTCCCTGCCGATACTCCGCCTTCGCTGCACCTGAGAATCCCAAGTCATGGACGGCGATTCGCCCCGATGGAAGCCCTTCGAGACCACCTCGAGTGTCCGCTATCCCTTTGGCCGCAACATGCGCCGAGAGTTCCCCGAAACGCACTACCTCGTTGTTTCGGTGCTGTTCATCTGCCAGAAGATCCTGAAGGAGTACCGCAGCGACCTTG